ATCCATTGGCTCCAGTGGTCCCGATATAGATTGTCTTATGAACTCTCGCCAACCGGCAACGACGACTAAGCCGACTGACCCGTCTGGTCGATTTGCTCACCTCCATCATAGGGCACAAGATCCTGTCTTATCGGGCACTAGTGGACACTGGCCGTCTGACTATGTCGCTTCATCTGCTACTTCTCCCTCATTCCCTAATTCGAAGTCCAGCTCATTGTCTCCTAGTGCACCTTGCCGCCCTCCTTCACGAGTCAGTGAACTATTTTCAGGTCTTAAAAACACCTTAATGACGAGTAATTTGCAGACCTCTGCATCAACGGGTAATCAGTCATCTGTTGCTGGTTGTGCTGAAGACCCCGGTCTACTCGAGCTAGTCCTCTCCGCAAACAATTTTGGAGCCATTGATTGTAGCACGACTGCTTCTTGCCTTAAGGAGACAGGCTCACTAAAGTTCTGTCAAGGCAAGCGGATTTCGCCAGCTGCCAGTTCTAATGTTTTGCTTCTGAAAGAGACTTGGCGAACTCCCAGCACACTGTCTCCTGGTCTGCGCAAGTCGCGCTCAGATAGTGGGAATATTGATAGTCTGCACGAATGTATCTGGGAGCAGAACGACGGCTGCCTCGAAGTGGAGGCAAACAGCGTTGAGGAGGGTGAGAGGCGCTTATTTTCCTCCATTCTTTCATTGCCCTGTTCATAATCCCCTGTATAATTTGTGGTTAAAGTTAACCGCTAAAATCACTGACTCTTCTTATCTCAATCTTTGCAACCAACCTAGGCTATAACACGACCTTATTTTTTATTCCTATGATGGGACTTTTATTATTATCATCATTAGCAACAGCAACGGCACTTATTTCTAAGCATTGTGATATGTTTTATTTACAATAATTTTCATTTACTCTCGTTCATTCGGATCTCCTCATACTTTAAGTACTAGGCTGGCGATGATCACCGAATTAAATATAGTGAAAGAATAAAACTTATTCTAATTACTCAAGCCTTTACCAT